CCAGTTTTTTTAAAGCTAGCTCAGGTCTGAGCCTCAGTCAATACAGTGGCTGCAATGTAGACCTATAATAGTGTGCCTGAAGCAAGACGTGAAGGCCTGTATACATTGCAAAGTCCTAAAATATGGCTCTAAAATGACCTGTTTTCCTGCAACTGCAGGAAAAGTCAAAGCTGGTTGGCCATGTTTTTACTGTCTGTGAACAGAAATGATAAATCATTTCTATTCAGGAAGGAAGATGACACAACAGAGATATTATTAGGGAGGTATGCAATTATTCTAAATAATTAATGTATGCAAAGTAAATTGCAAATCAGGCATGACCCCCATAGCTTCTGATATAACACCAGCAATTCTTTGATGTTGTAAGGTTTGAGCAAGCTTGGTTTGGATGTTTTCTTTTAAATTCAGCTATTAATCCAAGCTCTCTAATTTTTCTCTTAATTTCACTATAAAGCAGAATAGTATTTTTTTTATTGGAAAAGGGATCTTAAAGACTGCGTAGATGTAGACTTTTATTTATAAAATACAAATCAGAGGACTGAGTTCATTAAAATAAATGCTATTGTAATGCTAAAACACTGATCATTAAGAAACAGATTTCGACACTTTGCTTCATATGGCGTAGCACTTTCTACAGCACTTTCAATGGGCTACTTAAAAGTGCTGACCTGTGGGTCCTGATCCTGTTAGCACTGAAGTCAGGTGACAACATTCTTTATGGGTTTTTCCCCAAACAGTAAAACTGCTGTTTCCTTTCTTAAGATAAAAATGAAGCCTTGTTTATTTCATTTCATTTTATTTTAAATCCATTGCGGGTGCTAACATCTCCGCCAGCAAATACAATGTCCTGCCATCCTTAAAAGCATGTTACAATTTGTGGCGACATAACTAGCATTTGACATGGTGTTGGGCTGTCCCTTCTATCCAATTTAATTATATGCTCTTTTTATATACTGGGAACAGCTCACACTATCAGAATTGCTTTGCCCGCTGGAAAGAAATGGCCCTGACTTGTTCTAGTGGGCTGGGCTATAGCACCACTGAAGTATAGTTAAGGCCCATTGCTTTGGAATTATAGCACTATAACAATCCTTTATTTACATATACTGCTGAGACAGTAAAAACAGCAAACAGATTTCTTAACAAGAGACAGCTGAAATATCCCCTCAGGGCACTTGCCCCTCATTGAGGCACTAACATATGCAAGCTTAAATAGCTTTCGTGCCTGGATTTCAGTAGTGAATTATCTTGACGTGAACTGTTTGTGTCATTCTAATAACAAAATAGACCCAACATTCAGAACAGCATGCTTTCTCCCACTGCCCCTTTGTAAGTGGGCAGTGCGCATGATGGCGGAAAAAAAAAATGACTGGAAAACGGTTTGTTAGAAAGGTTTCAATTTACTCATCATGAGATTGCTGAGCAATACTGTAAATAGACTCAAGTGAAATCAATAGAAGGAGCTGTTCACACTCTCTCTAGCTTGCTGAATGTTTGACCTAATTTAGAATATAAGGAATCTGAGTTGAAGTCAGTATTTGTTTCGTCTTTACTCCGTGGGGATTTAAATAATCTTGTTGAGCAGTTTTCTAGAAAGCTGCTGCCTCTTTTGCACTCTGAATGACTTTCCTTCCCCCTTATTGGGCACTGCCCATTCTGCTTTTTTCTTAACTTTGTAGAGAAAGGGCCTTAAACACACAAGGACAAATGTTGCAACTAATGTGTACTTCACATCACATTATACCACTGTGGGTTTATTGCTTTTAATTGTCTTTGCACTTTTTTTCCATTGACAGCAAGGCCTCTACCTTCATTAGCACACCCTTAATCTTACTTGCTTTAAACTAAGGCAAACTATAAAGCTTGGTGTTTAATATCGGGATGCAGCAGTGTTCTGTAGACCAAATTACAGCTCGTAGAGATGAAGTTGTAAAGAAGGTATGTTTGCAAAGGCAGGATTCCTGGGAGGCATCCTGTCTGCAGCTGAGGGGAGGAGGTCCTCCAAAAGCTATTGTTACACCATATAAAACATTGGAGTAATTTGCTCTCCCCAGGTGCTCTTGGGATACGCCCAATGGGTGTTCAGTTCTGTCATCACTATGTCACTAGCAGCTTTCCTATTGTATGTTCAGCAAGTGGAGATAAACCAATTATAGCTGTCTGTTACACAGAAACACTAGGGAAAGAGTTGGAACACCACCTTTCCCCAGGTAAAAGCCATAACCTTGCTCCTGTATTTTCGTTCCAAAATGTGGAAGAGCAAACTTTTTTTTTTAAAGAAGGTAACAGGCACTGAAGTGTGCACATTTTGCAGGGTTTTTTTTTCTTCTTTTTACTGTTTTAAAAGTGGATTTCAGTTCAATCAATTATGTCTATGGAGGACCGGGACTGGAAAGCAATAAATAAATGCAATGTATCTACTACCACTAATAGAAGATTAGGAAAAATGTGAAACTATTTGATAACTGGGACTGGTAGCTGAGCCCTTTCAGGCAATGACAAGCTGATGCCACAAGTGAAGGAGAGGCCACAGGGACCTGAATTCAACAGTTAGACTGGATGCCAAACTAAGAACTGAGGTAAAGGCCATCCGTTCATAACCAAGGCTCCTGGGTTGTTGAACAGAGAAGTCAGAAGAAACCTGCTGATCTAATATCAAATCCTGCATGAATCTAATCTTGATTCATATATGGATTAGAAAAAGGCCTTACAGCCTTTGCCAGAAGGAGGTTGACAAGACAGTCATTGGGACTCCCTGTGTGTGTGGGTAGCCTAGCTCCTGGGACTGATAGTCTAGTTCAGCCCCAGGAGCACAGCGTTGAATGCATCCTAAACTTACCCCTTCCATTGAGAAGAGGAGATAAGAGCCTAGAAGACAAATAAATACCATGGGCAAACAATCCCCATAGGGATAGACTTGAAGGTCCTGCATCTAGAACAAAGTAATCAGATAGGGCAAAGACACCTAGCAGAGATAGAGGCCAGTGCTGTGTAAAGGGGCCCAAGGAGACAGTGGTTGCCATGCAGAGAGACCCTGGTGGCAAGAGCCAGGTAAGGGAATGGAAAGGACAGTTCAGGCTGAAAACTGTCCTGCTGAACCTCCTTCTCCTAGACTCCTCTAGTCAGTTCCTGGAGAGAACTGACAAGGAAGTGCCAGGTTTTTCCACATTATCTGGGAGTGAAAGGCGGGGGGTGTGCTTTACTTACAGCAGCTCTGAGAGCCACTTTACTTAAAGCGCCCGTAGCGTCTTGTGTATTCAATGTCCCCCCACCCCCATTTTAACTAAAACTTGTTTAGCAAGCTTTAGCTAAAGTGGCCCTGCTACCATTTTGAAGTGGGGACACTGAATACACAAGATGTGATGGCTAATTAGCATGCTGATTACAGCACATTGGAGCAGCATCCCTGCACATCTACAGGCACCCTATAACAGGAAGTACAAGGGGATGTCAGCCTGATAGGGAGAGAAAAGCCCCCATATCCACAAAACAGTCGCAGGATTATTGTACACTGGCCAGGAACACTTCCCTGCTGGCATGCTGCAAATGTTGACTTGGAGAGAGACCTATCTCACCCGTGATAAGGTAGATCTTTCTCCACACCCATGCCATGCTCCTTCTCTTTGAGGAGATTGTCAAGTGTTGTGTTCATTAGGAAACACGCTGATGCTACCTCATCAGTTTGACTCAAGCTGCCAAGCAGCCTCAAACATAGACATGATTTAATTAAATACCCTATATCAGGGGTGTCAAATTCATCCATGCTGTGGGGGCCAAATCCAGACGAAGAGGATCCATAGAATCAGAGAAAATTAGGGGTGCAAGGGACCTTTGCTGGAAACACTCCTACCAATTCAACCCGGTATGCCATGGGCCTTCTTGGCAACAAGGCTGCAAGAGCACACTGCTGGCTCATATTCAGCTTATTGTCCACTGTACCCCCAGGTCCTTTTCTGCAAAACTGCTGCCCAGCCAGTCAGCCCCCAGCCTGTACCGGTGCATGGGACTGTTCTGTCCTAAATGCAGGACTTTGAACTTGTCCTTACTGAACCTCATAAGATTTCTTTTGGCCCAATCCTCCAATTTGTCTATATCTCTCTGAATACTAACCATACCCTTCAGCATATCTACTACTCCCCCCAACTTGGTGTCATCTGCAAACTTGCTGATGGTGACCTCCATCCCATCTTCCAGGTCAGTGACAAATCCATGGGGCAAGTGGCAGCTGTGTGGGGCCAGCTACTGTGGTGGCGGCAAGTGGTACTGTGTTAGTACAGACCTTGTTTGGCCCACTGCTGCCAATGGCTGCCCCAGATTCTGCTTCCCTCTACCCCTACCCTCAAATTCCTGCCATGCTGAGAGCACCATGGCTTCAATAGGGCAGCTCTGTGGGCCATACGTTTGACACCCCTGCCCTAAATCTTTACATCTCATTTCCTAGCCCATGAAGCACATAGTCCCTTGAAGAGGCTGTCATATCTATCCTTGCCTAGTTTATAATGGCAGGGACTCATGATTTCACATGTATATATGTAATCAAATCAGGTTCTAACACACAAGAGGACTGAGGTGTTGTTGTGGGGGGGGGGGGCTTGGCAACAATCTGTGGCAGCTTGAGAGATAGAGAAGGGTGATTTTACTGTGCAATCTGTGATGAGTGTTACAAATCACTAGCTTTGTTTACAACCTTTGGTGCTGTAAAGGGATTTTGAAACCTTCAGCTAAGAACTGCTGCAATTCTAATCCTATTGGTTTCAATATAAATAACATTATAGCAGCCTCTGATTTTCAGTGAACACTAATGCAATCAGAATGGATGTCATTTGGTTATTACTGATGAAGTTAGTAGCTTTTATAAAGTTTACAAAACCTAACAGACTTTTATAGTGTTTCTGAGACCTCTCCAGCTTGTTGCTGCATAAAAAGACTTTTGATACAATCAACTGCATGGGAAAGATAGAAACCCCCCCAGAAAGCAAAATGTAATGCAAGATATTTACCACCAGATGGCACACTGGTACAGCTCCCTCCATTCAGGCACGGATTCCTCTTGCATGCGTCCGGGTATAAAACACAGCCAAGCTTCAATTCAGTCAGGCCAACAACTTCTGCAAAGCTGCTGCGCTTGTTCTGGAGTGGCAGTTCGTTGTTATTCAGGACAACTGAGTCTAGGCAGCCTTGAAAGCCGCTCAGGACCTGCGTTGTCCTCTTGTCAGTCAGACTCCGGACGTTATCTACTTGCACCTGGGCTCCAAAGTAGACAGAGCTATCGGTACTCAGCGTCTGGAAGTACAGGGGGGCCTTGCGCCGCTCCACGTAGCTATCATCCAGCGACAGGCTTGTGAAATTCCGATTCAGCTCCAGGAAGACCGAGTGCCAGCTCCCATCGTTCACAGCCCTGCCAGAAATTCCCAGGATTCCCGGGCCACTTCCACAGTCCAACTGGAACCACAATTTGCCATCCACAATCTGTGAGGGGAGAACAACAATAAAAGAATACCCCAACAATGCTTCAACTGTTGAGCCTGCAACATTTCATAATGTGCTTCTGTAACACCGGCCCAGTACTGTGCACCGGCACTGGAAAGCACTGTAGCAGCACTGTCAGGAATAAACATAGTAGAGCAAACAATCGCCCACTCTCAACGTGCCCACATGCTCTCATTTGTACTAGCTCCAAGCGTCTAAATAAGTCTCATGCTAGAAGTGGGGGAGGAAGGAGAGCAGAAGCAGGCATAGGTGAGCAGGAGCGGGTACTAGCGTATATGACCAGTCAGGTGGCTTTGGACAAGTCTCTTCGGGCATTTATAAATGTGCTCGGGGGGGGTGGCATGCTTGAATTAGAGCGGCCACAGGAGGGAAGGCTCTTGGTTCAAGAGCTCCGAGAGCTGCTCTAATAAAACCATCCAGAGCATCACATATGTCAGTGTGCCCAATGGCAGCAGGGGTGCTTTAACTAAAGCTTGTTGAACAAGCTGTAGTTAAAGCACCCCCACTGCCATTTTTCAGTGCGGGACGCTGATACATGTGACGCTGGAGTCTGCTGGAGTGTGGTAATTCCCACGCTTCAACAGACTCGATTAATCGCTGCCCGTGTATAGGCTGTCTATATCCCCCTGTGTCTCTGCTTCCTTTCCCTGAATTTGTTTCTCTTGACAGTTTTGTCTGAATGCGCCCTGGGACAAAAGCCAGTTTTCACAACACGTTGAGGCTATGTCTATGCTTAGGGCAAATGCACTTCAGTCTTAAATGAGGATTCAAGGCATTAGTGAATTAGAATATTTACTCGATTAGAAGATGAGGTTCCCCCCCCCCGATTTAACATAGGAAAAAAAGCCTTTCACCTTACAATCGAGCATGAGAAAATGGGGGTAGGGAGAGGCAGGCAGCTGCTGCAGCTCCAGCCCCAAGTCAGGGTTGGGGGCTGGAACTGGAGCCGCATCTGTCCCCACCCCTCCCCTCCCCACTGCTTGAGGACACCCCACCACTCCTGCCCCATAACCCCCAACCCCCACCACCAGTGCTGCTTCTTCCTTTCTCTCCTTCTCTGCCACCCTGCACTTTACTTTTGCTCCATGCCAGCACGCTCGGTCCCTGCTGCAGCCTGGGGCACAGAGCAGCCCTGTAGCAGTAATGGGGGACCTGAAGCTGCAAGTGGAGGAAGCGGCATGGAGGAAGGGGAACAGAGAAAGGGGGAATAAGGACAGCCTGAGGCTGTGAGCAGTGGGCGGAGAGGGGACAGGCATATGGAGGTAAGTGCGGAGGGGCAGGCAGTAGGGGGCAAGCTGCCTGCCTCTCACTGCCTACCCCACCGCCTGTCCTACCACATGCCCCTACTGTCTGTACCATTACTGCTCCCCTCATCACTCTTTCCCACCCCAACCTGCAGTAGTGGGGTGAGGAGGGGTGAATTGAAGATGATCCTCCAGTCATTTGATTCCATACGTGGAAAACTATAATAAATGTATAATGTTTGCATGCATAGAATCTAATTATTGGGGAATCATCTTCCATTCAGGATCATCTTGTATTCAGGTAAATATAGTATAAAGAAATTTATTTAAGCAAGCTTGCATTAGTGATGCTGCAGGATTCTGCATGGTTTTAGCTTACTGGACTAAGCCATTGGGATGCAGCATCTTCATTGTTTTCTACAGGTTCAATCCCTTTTGTGACTAAACAGTAAAACTTAAGTTGACAGAGGTCAGCTATATCCTATGGAGTTGACTAGAAGTCTTCGTTGAGCTCTGGCTTTCCCCAGAACAATGCAAGAGCTACCACTAGCCTCTACTTTCCTGCCCTCCTTCATATTTAAACTGAGATCAACACTGTCATGTGAGAGAATTTAATGTAAATGTTTTCACAATGCAGAGGCCCACTCTTGTGTGGTTTCCATCTTCACCCACTTCAGGTAGCTGGGTATTTATTGAAAGTGAAATTATTATTACAATTTCTCTTGCTGCTTGCTGGCAAACTGGCAGAAGAAGAGCACTGTTTCAGAAAGCAGTAGGTATTGGAGAGGAACTCAAAAGACAGAGTTCAATTCCTGCTTCAGAATTCTTGTATGGACTTGCTGGAAGTCATTTAATCAACCCTGTCTCCTCAGATCTCAATATGTAAAATATAGAGAATACATCACAAGGGAGAGAATACATGGCATAACTGTGAGGGACAGTGCAAGTATGTACATATGGAGAGACATGGAAATGATTGCTTTGGTTTCCCTAACCCCAAAGAGGGAATTTTTTAACAGCACTTTGAGGGAGATTAAATCCTTGGCCCCTCAAACACCAAAGCTCAGAAAAGAGCAAGGAGGTTTGGTTCACAGGTGGCAGAAGGCTGGGGCTAATGGGGCTTGGACCACCCAAATGTGGCTCTAGCATTACTGCCATGCCCCGCCATCACAGCACCATGCCCAGTACCCCTGCCACATGCTCCTCCACTGCCATGTGTGGGAAGGAGGGTGGGGGTCATGTGGGCACATCCTGCACCACCATGCACCGCCCCCCGAACGCTCCCCCCACCTCCAGCACTCCTTGCCCCACCAAATAATATTTTCTCCTGCTGCCTAAGGCTTGCTGCATTGACTAACTGTTCACCCAAAGGTTCTGTACATCTCCAAAAGAACATGAAAACCTTTAAAGATACTTAATGTCCCCCTATTCTCTGCTCTTCCCCCTGCTCCTGAACATCCATGTAGACTTCAAGCATGGTGTCTTTAGGGCTGTGCAAAATGGCACCGTTCCATTTTGACTTGCATTTCAATGTTTTGATGGAACAGCGTTTTGTTTCCAATTTCATTTTGATTCGAAACTGTTGTTCCGTTTCGTTTCAGCAACACACTTTTGCTGTTTCAACACTGTTTCGGCATTTCGCCCATAGGCTATAATGGGGAAGCTCGAAACAGCCTATAGCTTTGTCATTTCTAGCCTTATTTGGATGAAACTTGCAGGAATGGTAGCCCCTTCTGAGGGCATGAAGCCTGCCAAGTCTCAAGGAGATAGGAGCAGGAGTTTCAGTGAAACTGCACCTCAAAGTTGTGAAAGCAAAAAACTCATGTCACGTATGTGTTAAGCCACAGTGGGGTCAAATCTACTAGTCCCTCCTGAGGCCACAAAGCAGCTAAGTTTCAAGGAGATAGGTGTAGGGGTTTGGGGGAAACTGCACCTCAAGCTGCTGACAAGCAAACCTCATGACATGGGTGACACTGTGTGTGTTAAGGCACAGCAGGGTAAAAGCTTCAGCCCTGCTAGCCCCTCCTGTGGCCATGAAGTCTGCCAGCTGTGAAGGGGATGGGTTCAGGGGGAGTCTGGATTCTGGGGCCCTGCACCTCTAGCTGCTGACAGGCAAAACTCATGACATGGGTAGGTGACACTGTGTGTGTTAAGGTGCACCCTCACTCACCTGACACCAAGGAAGAAAGCAGGGCAGTTCAAACAATGCTGCCTTTTCTGCATTTTTTTCCACCCCTCCTCCAGAGCACTGGGATTGGAAGGGATCTCAGGGAAGGATCACAGTCACTGGCCAGCTACACAGCCAATAACGAGAGCACTCCTCCACCCCTCACATCCTCCCTCTTCCCCCTGCCTCTCTTTACTTTTGCTTCCGTTTCCCTGAAGGCAAACCCAGCTTGAGCTTCAAAACGTTTTGACTTGCCTTGTTTTGTTTCAAGGGTGTTTTGAAGCTCTCAGTTTCCTTTTGATTTTGCTGTTTCAAGATTGAAACAAGTCAAAACAGTGTCGAAATAAAACTGCTGGTGAAATTTCACACAGCCCTAGTGTCCTTCTGCAACCTTTCCTCTTTGCATCAGTTAATATTGGCAGGAACCAGTATAAACACTGTACTGTGTAACACATGTGAATACATGAGACTACACATAATACATATAAATACATGTGAATAAATGTGAATTTACATGTATTCACATGTATTCGTGTGTAATACATAAATACAGGTGTATCTAACTTTGCATCTTTTTTACATGTAGGTTAACTGGGCTGCAGACAGTTGCAAGAGAAATCACAGGTAGAGTTAAGCAGAGAACCAAGAGCTTTGCCTCCTAGTCCCCTGCTCTAGCAGTTCATCTATGGTCACGGCAACACTTGCGGATACTCTGCAGAGAGTTTGCAAGTTATATGGTGCTGGCTCCACAACCCTGGTTTCAGTCATTACAACAGGGCCATCCAATGACAAGCCCAGACATTGCTGGGTCACAGGGAAAGAACACAGTTCTCATAGGCTGAAGAATGGCTACAGATAACTATATTCACTCATGTAATGATGGCTGTAGTTGCCAACAGGATGTTGCACAACAGTGAATGAAAAATAGCACCCCCCAGCCATCCTTAAGGCTCTCGTACTCTCAGTGGTCCAGTTCTGAACAATGCAAGCACTGCTGCTTCACTCTAGGCACTAGAAAAATTCCTTGAACTGAATGACTGTGTGTGCATCACTTGGCTTTTCATGGTGCTTTAGCCCTTCATGTGCACTGGTACTTGAGTTTGCACTGAAGTGCAGTATGAAGAATAATACAGATCTATCTGAGCTCTGTTCTTCCAGTCTCTCCCCTTTTATCAAGACTGACCAGGTTGTAACTTTAAGTCTCCTCTAAGTCAATCCAGCCTAGTAATAGCTTCAAAAGAATGTAATGGCTTCTGTTTTACCAATGGCAGTTGCTGTATGCTGGTGGTAGAGAACTGTCTAAGCCTGCTCTATCCCAGAGGGACTTGCTTAAATCAGTGGTAACCTTCCCATCACCCATGCAATCCATCTTTCTGCCTCCTTTGCACCACAGAAATGTGGCAGCAAGAAAGGATTTGACCACAGGAATTTATCATTAACCACCCTTTATTTAATATCCACACTAGACCCCAGCAGCTTGACACAATTGAGGAAAAATAGGAAATGCCTGATTTTAACACAAGTAGCCTAACTGATGGAGTTTAGGAATCTCAACTGTTATTTTCTAC